AATGAAGCAATTAATGCTGGAGCGATTCTTATCGGAAGATTACAAACAGATTCTCTACAAGATGTATCTCGATTGTGTTCAAGGGAACAGAACTGTGACTGAATACACAACTGAATTCTTGCGTTTCTCTGAACGCAGTGAGTAAGGCGAGACGGAGAATCAGAAGGTCACTAGGTACATCAGCGGTTTAAAGGGTTCTCTTCAGGGAAAGATGAGCTTTCAAACCGTATGGACCGTGCATGAAGCTTCCAGTCTAGCGTTAAAAGCCGAGAAGTCATCACGAGGGTTCTCAACATTTAGAAGAAACGCGGCTCAAATCAGTCTTGAACCAACGAGTGAGAAAGAAAAGAATGTAGTCAATAAAGACTCCAATCCAAGAAACAAAGGATCTAGTAGCTATAATACTACACAACATAACAAAGCACCAGCTGTTGTGGTCACGAAATCCATGGTTCAACCAGAGTCTCACCAAACCTTCCAAGCCGGCCATCTAGAGGGTACCAGCAACCTAGGTTCAGTCCAAGGAAAATATCTCCACAACCAGAAGGACGTTCAACATGAAACCAATTTTAATGAATTATACACTCATTATGGTGTCCAGAACAATAGGAAGCATATCAAAATATATCCAGACCAGAAAGATATGAATTTTACAAGCTGGAGGTTCCCCAGCACATCCAGTTGTGAGTATCAGCCCTTTGAAGTGGATTTCAGTCCCATGAAGCGGCCTCCTAAAGAATCAACCATTGGGTTAAAGAAGGGTTTTTATCTTTACAAGAATCCCGAGTCAAGAGATTTGGTTCAGAAAATACCAAGATACAATCAATTTTCTTAAACCGGTCAAACCGACATTGTTTATGGAAAGTTGCCAACCACTCCAATTTGGCTCGAACCAAATCTTTCTGTGGAAACCAGGATATCATCTTAACCATCCAGAAGACATCTATGACGTCCTTAGCTGCACCAGCACTCAGAGGATCAGACGAATCTTCATTTACTTAAACTTGCCTTATTTGGAGTTTCAAGCATTAAAACTCCAACAGCTCTTTTTCCTTCAGTCTATGCACGACATCAGCACCTTACAGACCATAAAGTAGATTCCCAAGAAGCTCACTTACCCCCTCAAACCTTCCAGATACAAGGAGAACCCAATCTACATTTATTTGGCCAAGATTCTCATCATTAAGCTTCATAAACATGGACCATTCAAGATTTTGCAAAAGTTAAATGATAAGCTTATGTGGTGGCACTTCTAATACTTTCAATGTGCCTGAAATCTATGAGTATCATGCTGATGGTGTTCCTTATCAAGAAGAGAACTCGGGGTCGAGTTCTTTGGAGGTGGAGGAAATTGATGTATGAACCTAACCTACTGTTTTTTAGAAGTTTTCCTTTTTATTTGTTTTCTAGAAGTTTTCCTTTTTATTTAGTTTTTTTTCCTATTCTATATTTTAGGCTATCTCTATATAAGAAGCCTAAGGTTTTCTGTTTGATAATCATTATTATTCTTAATCAAAATTTAGAGATTTTTCTTTTTTTCCCTGGTGGATTCCAGACCCCTCTCTGGTGGATTCCATAGTTTTATCTTTTTCTGGTGGATTACAGATCTCTTTTCTGGTGGATTCCAGAATTCTATCATCAAGTTCATCGCTTATGAACTTGATTTCATCTAGAATTAGTGCTTGCCTTTCCTAAGGATTTTCCAACTGCGTCAACAATATACAAATGTTTCATCAGGATGCACTCACAATCGACCATTTTATTAGCACTTGCAGTTTTACGTGGTTGGAGGCCATTTACCATATTGTAGGGTTGTGTATAGGGGTGGGCGTTCGGGTATCCATTTGGATTCGGTTTGGATCTATTCGGGTTTCAGGTTTTCGGAGTTAAGGGATTCAGCCCCATTCGAATATTTATAAATTTCGGTTCAGGTTCGGTTTGGATATTTGCAGGTTTGGTTCAGGTTTGGATAACCCATTTACCTTGTTTTTAAAATTTTAAAATCCATATATACTTTAAACTAGGATAAGACCCGCGCCTTGCGCGGAATGAAGCTATTATTTTTATTATGTTTTGAAAAATAAAACAATAGTTTGGTTTCATTCGGATTAGAGGTGTTCAATCTGGATATCGGGTTTCAGTTCGGCTCGATTTTTCGGTATTTCGATCATTAAAATATAACTACTATTCTAAATCTATATGTAATTCAGTTTGATTTGATTTATATACCATCGGTTTTCAGTTTATTCAATTTTATACCAAAAAACATAATTATTTAGTTTGAGATCATATTATATATTATACAAATATATAATATGATCATATTTAGAGTCATATTGTCACATAGTCATTTATTAAAAAATATTATATATTTAAATAAAAGAATAAAAAACAAAAAAGGCTTATATCATCTAATAAAATGATCAAATCTAGAATTAATCTCAAAACACTAAATTTTGAAAATAGAAATAAAAAACAAAACAGAAGCATGAAAGAAAAGTTTTTATATTCTTCCATATTTAGTGTTCATCAAACCAATATGTCTTCGATTGAACACAACTCTGTTTGTTTAAAGATAAAAAAAAAGTTATAAAGAATTTCAACTAATTGTTGTCCATCAAATTTATAATCTTTACTTCAATTTAGTTACTGTTAAAAAAGCAAAAGATCAAAATAAGAAGTCTCAGTTGTAATAAATTGTTAGCTATTTACAAATTATAATTATATAGTTCAACTCATGTAACAAATAGGTATTCATGCGTTGTTATAAATATATACATATTTACATGTTTCAGTTTAATCGGTTATAAATCAAACCATATCCAAATCCTATGGTTTTTATAAAATCACATCCATTCGGTTTGTATGGTATATACCAAAAATAACCATATTATCGATTGTTAATATCTTTTAAAAATATAAAATTAAAAAAAGAACTAAGATGTTTAAATCATTGATAACAAAAAATTTCAATGTGAAAAATTTAATAAGTTTATAATTTATAAATGTTCTTGAGAATTTATTGAAAATTTTGAAATTAAAATATTTATGTAATCTTATATGGTATATAGTTTAATCTGTATATATATATATTTGTTTTATTATTGAATGATACTTTTTACTTATATGGTTTTAAAATCATGTATATCTTTTTATGATAAAAATGTTAAACTATTGATCATTAATTTTTAACATAATAATTTTAATAGTTTAGTTATTTATTCTTGTTTTTTTAAATTCAAAATATAACCTATACGAAAAAATCTAAAGTTTAATTTTATAGCTAATTTGATTGTTTAATTTATTTTAATAATATAAAATTAAAGAAAAATGATGGAGGATATATAAACTGTTATCAAATATTTATTATTAGAATCATTAAGTGTCATATATATATATATATATATATACATATATATATATATATATATATATACATATATATATATATATATATATATATATATATATATATATATATATATATTAGTCATTTATGGTAATTTCGTAGGTTTTATTTTTGGAAAAAAAATAAAATAGTAATTTTATCTAGGGGAACAATTATTAAGTGTCATATATATATATATATTAGTCATTTATGGTAATTCCATAGGTTTTATTTATGGAAAGAAAATAAAATAGTAATTATATCTAGGAAAACAATCATAAATGTTTCTATCATAAATATCATATCATATCATTATATCATATAATTTGACCAACGAATGTATCTAGCGACATATAAAAATCGAATGTGGACCTACTTATTTTTCAATTGAATGTAATTGACTACCTAATTGAGTGACACCTAAGCATGGGGTCTTTTTTAATTATTACAAAATTGAGGTTACAATTTTTTAAATGTTTCTCCTTTAATATATAAGGGATTTGGTTTGACTTGAATATTTGGATGGTGAATCAATAAAAAAATTTTAACATTGATGGTGTTTTGAGTATTGTTTAACTATTTTAGATTATTTACTTTTGACTATTTCGTATATATTTTCAAATATATTTGGATAATATCAAAATATCTTATACATTATTTTGATGCTTTTCGATATTACATCTAAAAATAACTAATATATTGAAATATATAAAAACGATTCGGATCTATTCGGGTATCCAAAATATTTTGGTTCGGATCGGGTTTGATTTTTTAGATACCCAAATTTTGAACCCATTCCGATATTTAACCAATTTTGGCTAGAATTAGTACTACTTATTTGATCGGATTTGGCAAGGTATTTTGGATTCCGTTTTTTTGCAGAGTCATAGTTGTGTAATTAGTTCTTATAAACCTTTTTCTGTTTATTTCACGTGCTGGTCATCTGTTTTTCCTTTGGACTATATATTGGAAATGGAAACAATAGACGACACTAAATGGCTAGCTTGATCGGTATATTCCAGTTACTTGAAGGAACATTCTTTTGAGAAAATTCCTTATTCTGTCTAAATCAACTGTTTTTCTATTACAAATTTGTTAGGAGGCTCGAGATGTGTTCAACTCATTATGATGTACAAAGTGATTAGGCTTTTTCAACCTAAAATCCAAATGGCCGTATTGGTCCTGACAATCTATCTTATATACGATCGTATGACGTTAAAACACGTTGATGATGATCACAATCCACACAAAAAAGATAATCAACGAGCCAAAAATAGGAAACAAAAAAATGCAAAACCAGCTTTAGTGTTTCTCATAGACAGGAAGGGGCATATAACAGCCTCTAACATAATGGCTACACTACAAAGGCTGTCTCCAATAATCGAGAGCATCATCAGAGATGCGTTGTAATAACTCTATTATTGTTCACGTTTTCTTTGTACCAAATGACCACAAAATAATTGTTCCCTTTTAAAGATTCTAGCCTCTAGGTATCATCATATTATCATTTCCTCTGTCTGTTGTTCAGAAGATTATATAGCTGTACACTTATAGAAACTGTCCCGAGTAGTAAAACACACCAGAACTACCTAAAGAGGTTCAACTAATCAAATCTCACGAAACCCTAAAGCTTATGTATCAATTTTACTCGCATAGAATATAATCATTATTACACTGAAGAACACAAAAAAAAAAAATCTTACAAATGTAAAAAAATTTAAATAGGAGAGTTTAGTTTCTTCATGTTTTGTGTTCTTACCTTAAGATAAATTAAGCTAATAGCTAATGTCGTCTCCTTGAAGAAGCAGTCCTGAACATAGAAAACGACGAGCTGCTCCTCCGGAATGATCTTGATCCAGACCCGGACCCGGACCCTGAAGCAGGTACGGATCCAGATGACCCACTGAAACATCCGAATAATCTCATAATCCGACCCGCAAACCCGCCGGATCTCTCTCTACCACCACCACCACCTCCACCTTCTCTCCCTCCTCTTCTTGAACCCCACACCACTCTCCTCGGAAGCCTCTCGTCTCCTCCTCCGAGTCTCCCGCCATCAACCTCCGTGTACACCACCGGCATCACTCTATCTCCTCCTCTCCACCCTCCCGGAATCCTCCCCACCGCGAATCCTCCCCCCGGCAACCTCCAAATCGTCAGCCCCGCGGCCGAATCCTCCTCCTCTTCATTTGCCACCACGGCCGTCTCTCCACCACCATCCTCCACCGGAAGCTCGTGGCGACACACGGGACACGAGTTTCGAATCGCGAGCCAGGGGAGGATACAATCGGGATGGTAGATATGGTTACAAGGCATCTCCCGCGCGGCGGATTTCAATATAAAATTCTCTTTACAAACAGCGCAGTGAGATTGAGAATCCGAGTCGAGATGAGACGGATCGATCTCGATCACTGGTAAAGCTTCTATGGCGGATTTAGAAGCTGGCGGGTTATCATATGAGTTACTGTTATTGTTGGTGGTTGTTAGTTCGATCTGAGAGATCTGATCTAACAACCGATCGAACCCGGAGCCTAACAGAAACTCCGTCATGCTCGGAGGTAACGGCCTGAGGCCAGAGTCCGTGCCGTCGTCGTAGTACATCTGGAAGGCGGATCTGTCTAAGCCTTCCGGGTTGTTGGATCCTCCGCGGAGGACGATGACCGGGTTGGGAGATCGGTTGCTTGAATTGCTTCGGGTTCGGGTAACGGTGGGGGGAGGAGGAGGGGGAGTGGGGCTGTTCTCGGCCGTGTGCATGGCGGAGGAGGAGGAGGAAGGGGGAGGGAAGCGGGTGGGGCTACGGTGGTGGTGACGGGAAGGGGTGAAATCTAGGGTTTGTTGGATGTGTTCGAGGAAGCCACCGTCGCAGTCAGGGCAGGAGATGGAGTCGGAGACCCAGACGAAGCGGCTGCAGCTGTAACACCAGTAAGATCCTCCGGGAGAAGCCATGTGATGTGTTGAGGGAATTAAAATCTTGAGGAAGGAAAGAACATCTGGGTTGGGTTGGGGATGACTTTTGAGTTTTTGAATGATTGACTAAAGGGAGAAGAAGAGGAGAGAGAGAGAGAGAAAGGGGGATGAAGAGGGAAAAGGACGGTCGTGGTTTGTCTTAACAAGAAACCGTCCAACTCGTGTGTTGTCACGTTCTCTTTCTCATGCCTCTTCTTCCTTTTTAATTTTTTTTTTTTGGTTAAACAAACTGTTTTTAATACGTTTTCTTCTTTCTAATCTCGCGTAACCTTTTTTAATACAAACTGTTCCAAAACTGATTATAGTAAAAACAATATTTAAAAGTTACAGGTATGGAAGTAAAGATTTTGATTTAAGAAAACAATATTTAAAACTTACAGGTATGGAAGTAGATATATTTATTTAACAAAAAAATATTTAAAACTTATAGCCTATAGGTATGGAAGTAAATATTTTGATATAAGAAATTAGCGTTAATTCAAAATTTATTTATATATTTAAAAGATAATTTGTTAGAGATGATTTGATGGCATAAACTCCACATTAGAATCAAGAGATCTGGGGTATATTAATGACATAATTTAATGAGAGTAATGCGAGTTTCCTAAATTAGTTACGTGGATTTTATGTTATTTGGGTCTGTTACTTATTGTTTTGTAAGTAATAGTAAGCCCATTGTACATTTAAAAATAAGAGCCCACTAAAACTTTTTAACTTTGCCTCAAAAGTCCCCCAAGTTCCTTACACTTCTCGCTCTTGCAGTTTTGGAGCCAGTTTGATCATTTGCAGGTACGTTTCACAATGTCTTCATCTTCGTTGCAGATTCTGTTATTTCTTCTCTGATTTCTATAGGTAACCTGGAGAATGTGTATGCAGATTAGTTTTGATTCAATGGCTCATTAAAATCATTATATATACAGTATACTGTACAACATTTTCATTTTTCTCTTGATACCCTAAGCTCATTAAAAATTTTATCATGCCCTACATATAACTTAAACTATTATTTAAAATGATGATGAACTAAGCGATCGCTTAGCTCGATTATGTTCCGGACCGGCCCTGCATATACACTCTACACATTAGTTGATTAGTTGCATAACGTGAACGACTGTTTCAAGAGACATTATACATAAAAAAATGTGTTAGGTTTCTTCTTTGTTTGATACAAGTTTGCCAACACTCATGCTTTACCTGTGAAATGTACATACATTTTCTGGCTAAGTATAGTTTGAGAGTGATAGAAGAGTGCAGTTGTTGCACACTGAAAGAAGAAACATGAAGCATATCGAAAATTGGAAAAAAAAATTTAAAACTAATAAATAAGAGATATGCCCTAATGTATTGATTTTGAGTTGAAAGTTCATATAACTTGGTATGAGAGTTTGATCTACACAATTCCAGTCTGCTACATAATTGATTCGTCAAATACTCCAAGATAAATGTTCTGATTCTCGCCAAAGAACTATAATTTGGAATGCATCTAATTTTAAAAAGGCAAACAAAAAGTTGAGAAATGGTTTATGACAATGCAATCTTACAATATTAATGTTTGCACATGATCACAAAAAAAAAGAGGACATGAACCAATCCACAATTACACAAAAGGGCAAAAAAAAAAGAGACAAAAGTAGAAACACAGCACACTTAATAAAGAGGAAACTCAAAAGGTGTAGAGACAAGTTCCATCATCACTTCTAGCTGTCGGATCAAAGTTTTCGGCTTGAGGATCAGTACACCCTTCTGGAACAGGAAGGTTCACTTGCTGTGCTCCTTTTCCTGCAAGCCAAGTTACACCCATTTCAGAAACCCTAATTTCCAAATTTTCTATCTCTTTTTGGCCTAAAGTTCAAACCTCGGATTCTAACCGTAGAAAGTTCCGCGGCCAATGGCGTCCGCGTTTGCGTCTCCCAACGCAGCCTCGTTAAGGTATTGGTCAGCAAGTTGGACTCTCTTGACATTCTCTTGCTCCATCACAAGCATGTTACCATACTCCATAAGCTTCTGAAGAGTCATCTCTGGTTGCTCAAACACTGGAGGACCTTCCCTCGAGTTCACAAGCCTCTTTCCAATCTTCTCCACACCAAGCCCTTCAACGAACTTCCTCACTTCATCATCATACACTCTCGCCCTCAATGCACCAAAGAAATCTATTACCAAGAAAATCAAGAATCAGAATCCTACACAGAGACAAAACAACAAACAAATCTTTTTATTATTACCGATAGATTGTCCAGGGAACTGGTCAACAAGCGTGACAATATCTTCATCCTTGATCTTATCAGTCCTGAAGATACCCTTGCAGACACCAATACGGTCCTCACGTGTCGGTGCCCAGTAGAACTTCTCCATACGTCCGTCACGGATGAGAGGAGCGTAGAGAGTGGAGAAATCGTTACCGGTGACGATGATGGGGACACGTGCGTTGTCTTCTTTGTTGTACATTCCTGGGAGCTGGACGTTGGTGGGGTTATCAGCAATGTTCATGAGCGTTGCGTTAACCATCTGGTTGTTGACAGTGTACTGAGTAGTACCACCCATACGACCAGCACCAGCGTCGAGATCGTTGATGAATAGACAACACATTTTTCCTTTCTTGATAATGTCTGCTGCCTCACGGTACCTTTGACGGATAAGCTTAGCTGGTTCTCCTGCGTTTCCACTCTCAAGCTCTCCAGCACTCATCATAATTGGGCTGCAAAAAAAGATTTAAGCATTTTAATATTTCTTGTTGTTGTAGTCAAATTCACTTTTCATTAGTATTCATCATCAATATATGGGACATATATATTTGCTTATGTAACAATTTGTTTTTCTAAAATTCTGTTTATTGTATTCAGCTATTGAATTTTCAAGATAAATATAAACTCTAACTTTATCGCAAAAAATGATTGTAACCTGTTATAGATTTTAGAGAGAAGACTCACTTGATGCCCATCTTGGCCATGACAAGCTCACACTGGAAGGATTTACCTTGACCTTTGCCTCCCCAAATACCCAAAATAAGTGGAACCTATTTAAAAGAACAGAGCATTTTAAGATAATATTTGTTGTGAAATAACTCAAATATATGCACCTAAAAACTAACTGTAATATTCGTACTATTGTGAACAAATGCGAATCAAGCTCGAAACACTTTAGAGAGAAAACTACCAAAAATAAGTTTTTCATGTACTGTTGCACCTACAAAAATGTGGGCATTTTACTTGTGCAATGAGATTTAAGTCAAGAATTAACAAGTACCTTAATGTTAGGCAAAGTCAAGAAGTTCTTGGTGATGTGAACAACAAGCTTGTCCATGAAAGCAGGAGCAATGTAAAACCCTTCCATCATGTTGTCCAAGTTGTACCTATTATCAACAAGAATGAAAAAAAACAATTTAAAACCAAATATTCCTAACATATGGAACTAATGAGAGGTCTAGCTAGAGAGATGAATAACTTACTGCCTAAGACCTTGGCTGATGTACTCATAGGAGCTAAGGACAGGGTTATGAGTTCCGGTTCCCATAGGAGCTTGGAAGACAGAGTCAACCATACCTTTTCCTCTGGTGATGTCCTGTTGATCATCAGATATGTCGTAGGCAAGTCCCTTCCATCTGTCTCCATCGGTTTGTTTGTCTTCTTTCACAGCAACCACTTTGAATGATCCGTTGCTCTTCTTGTTGTTGCTCTGTGTGAATCTCGACACTGTTGTAACTTTCTTCCCCAAGAAGGTTGTTGCTGGGACTGAAGCAGCTCCTGCTCCTGACCCGTTCAAGCTCAACTACAACACACATGTCAAGCTCAGTTTTGAATTCAGACTTGGTTCACATGGTTCAAGAACCGGTTAAGACAGTATCAGAAAGGATAGGAAAGTGAAGGAGTTTGGTTGAAAAGTACCGGAGCTCTGTTGATGGCACCGACGGTGGAAACTGCGGCGGCCATTTCCCACGAATGTGCGTCACACAAGAATCTGAGGAGAGAGAGAGATTTTGATCGGAGAAGATGGATACTAGATGTTGGTGTGTGTGCAAGAAACTTGAGAGATTTATAAACCGAGTGAGATCAGTGACCACTACGTTATCTCTTCTTTAACTCTCTGATGCCACACGATGCGGATTGGCCAATACGCCACGTGGCGACAGGAGGAAAGATGATGAGGAGAGTTCTGTCTTATTGGTCCACGTGGCATGTGTGTTATGAGGTTGTCGTGAAACGGTTAATATGTGCCACTGGGTTTGTGTTTTGGCGGCTTTGCTTGGAGTGAAGAAGACTATGACACTATTTATTACCACAAATGCTTTGAAAATTTATTTGTATTTTTCTTTTTTGAGGATGAGGTTAGAGCCATCTATATGTGATCAAGAGACTTCTGTAGAATTTTCTATTCTTCAACAATAAAATTCCAAATTTTAGATAATGACATCACTTAGTGACAATATTGTTCTAAATTTTTTTTAAAAAAAATTGTGTAAAGTGATTGGCCAAGAGGAGTACTCCATATTTACCAATGTAGATTTCTAATGTATTATCACTAAACTAAATAGTATACATTGTTGTCTATATAGAGAACCATAAACTGACTATAATTCTACCAACCACTGACAACTAAACTTATTATTATTATTATTAATGTTTATCTACATAAATATACTTTTATGTTATAAAAATGTGAAGTAAATGTTGAAAAATACCATGGCTCATCACATATTTTTGTTGGATACTGCATTTTTCACCTTGGAGAAAGTCGAGGACTAGGTAAAGCTTTACTCGGTAAAACATCAAAATGAAATTTACAGTCACATAAATGAGGGACAAAAATACAAACAATAAGATTAATATTACCAAACAATACATTTTGTGTCGTCTAAGTGCAGTAGTTTTGTCTAGTATTAAGCCTTAAGCAGACGCTTCTCACACGTTAGAATCCTGTAACTTGCGTGAGGACCCTCGGATGTGTCACGCAGAGATGTATGCCAACCCATTGCCTTTGTGATCTCTTGAATTTCATCCATAACATCAATCGAATCCCTAATGTATGCTCGTCCTCCTGGTCTCAATATCCGGTCCATCTCTAACAATATGGTCGACATCTCGCATCTGATACAATCCATGAATGTTAAGCCAT